GATTATCTATCAAGCAGGAAATCAATCCCTGTCTCCTGGGCAGTCACTGGACGTCAGTCACTTTATAAAAATCCTTTTTTTTTTTTTTAATAAACATGTGATTAGAGTCTAAGTAAATCTGAATTAACAGCTGAGCTGATGTGAAGCAGCTCTGGCTGCTGGGGGTGATTTCTACAGCTCCAGCCTGGGCTGGAACAGATCCAGGATTTGGGAGCAGCTCCTTGCCATGGAAACCCCTCCCCACCTGCCAGCCCTGGCTGGGTTTTTTTTCAGGCAGGCTCTGAGTTTGAGGTGCTGTCCCCTCAAAATTTCAGCCCGTGGGGTGCAGCCCCAACCTTCCCAAAAAATCCTGTCTGCACGTGGGGAACATGGAGAAAATTGCTTGTGCAGAGTGAAGCTTTTGGCATGGAGCTGGTGGAAGAGAAGTAATTAAATGAAATATTAGGAAGAAATTGAGGGTTTGGCACAGGGTGCCCAGAGCAGCTGTGGCTGCCCCTGGATCCCTGGCAGTGCCCAAGGCCAGGCTGGATGGGTTTGGGGCACCCTGGGATGGTGTCCCTGCCATGGCAGGGCTGGGATGGGATGATTTTAAGGTCCCTTCCAACCCAAAGCAGTTTGAGATTCTGGGATATTGGCACAGAAATGTGCTCAAATCCCAGCACAGATCCCAGCATCCATCAAGGCTCTTCCTCCCAGCTCCTGAAGGGAGGTTTGGCTCCAGGAGCTGCTGGCTGCCCTGCAGGAGTGAGAACACCAATTTTGGGCTGGGTGGGAGCAGAGGAGCTCCCTGAGCCTCTCTGGAGGAGCTTTGGGAGTTTTTTGACACAACCTCAATGTCAGAGCCTGCCAATGGTGATCCTGCACTGGGGCCTGACTGGGTGAGAGCACTGCAGTCACGTTTTGGCTTGGGCTGACTTAATCCAGTTAATTAATTAATATTCCTCGGAACCCATTCCAAGGGAACTGAGCCTCGGCTCAGCTCTGCATCCACCGGGGGCTGAGATCAGCCTCGTGTTCCCAGAGAAGCTCCGGGTGATGAGTGCTCACCCCCAGCTCTGCCCTGTCCCTCCCCTCACTGCCTTGTCCCTAAGAGCCACCAACACCAGGCACAGGGTGGCACCAGGGCCTTCTGCTGCATCTTTTCCCCACTGGAGAGCGAATTTCCACGCGATTTTCCATCCTGCTTGTGCTTGATTGCAGGTGCCATCCCCTCCTCCTGTTCTGCTGCTGCAGAGTGAGATGGGAAGAGCAGGACCAGGAGGGAAATGAGCTCCCAGTGAGCTCCCAGTGAGCTCCCAGTAAACTCCCAGTGAGCTCCCAGTAAACTCCCAGTGAACTCCCAGCTCAGTTTGTCCCTCCCTGGCAGCTGGGCTTTGCTCTGGGATGCCCGGGAAGGGCTGGATTGGCAGCTGGGTGGATGCCAGAGCAATTTCACATCCCCACAGCTCCCAGGGGTGTCCCCCTCCTTTCCCTCCTGTCCCTCTTTTCTGCTCCTTCCTCTCCCACAGCGCTGCTCTTCATGCCAGATTTTGGGAAGTGAACCCAAAACAAGGCAGAAATCCAGATGTTGGGAGAAATCCCACTCTGCAGGGATAAAGAGGATTTTCAGGAGATTCTGGGGAGGCGAGGACAGGAACTCCCACAGCAGCAGCTGACCCGGGGACACCCCTTTGTCCCTATTTTTATTTTTTTTTTTTTTCTATCAGCCAAACCTTGTTTGAGGGCAAGGAAAAGGGAAGAGCTCGTTTCCCTAAATCCCCCAGGAATGGCAGCTGCGGTTTGGCAGGGATTGGGCTGGGAATGTCTGCGAGAGCCCAGCGGTGCCTGCGAGGCTGCTCGAGGTTCCGACCTTTAGCCCGGAGAGCAGGAAATGTTAACGAGCTCTTAATTAACCCCGAGCTCCTCTCACACCCACACCCCGCACTCCTGCACAGGTTTGGGACAGAGATTGTTGGCAGCATTTCGGCCACTCAAGAAAAAAAAATAAAAAATAAATGTGAGCAGAGCAAAATTTGGTGGAATTTTTAGCTGCTGTGGCATCACCTGCTGAATTCCACAGGCAAGAGCCTTCCTGCCAAAAAATAAATCACCAGAGGTCCAGCAGGATTTACAGAGTGTCCAAGAGAGACTTCCCCAAGTGTCCCTCAGGCTGTTGTACCTTTCCAGGTGGAAATAGAGGAAGATCAAGGGATTTCCAGTTGGAGAGGAATTTAGAGAGAGAAGGACTCATCACAAAAGTCGTTTGTGCCAGTTTTTAGGGCGGGCTTGGAAAGAATTTGAGAACAAAGCAGCTCATGCCTGGGAGTTTATCAAAACAGCAGCAAGAAGATTTCAGAGGAAAATCTGTCAAACCCAGCAAAGGATCTTAAAGGAGGAATTCAGATGATGCAGGAAGAAGGCAGGACAGGGACAAATAATCCCCAAATCTTCTGGGGTATCAAATAAACTCCCAAAATAGGGGTGGGGCAGGCACAGATGCCAGGGATGGCTCTGAAGGTGCCAGGTTTGGCTTCTCTTGGATGCATCCCTGCCCTTCAGGTGCTCTGCCCCAGCACAGCCACCACCAGAGCAAAGCTCATCCTCCTGCCTCATCATGAGATAAAAACGACAAAACCCATCTGATGGGTCAGGGAAATCCGTGAGAGTCATCTAGGAATTAATGAAATCCTTCCCAAAGCACTGGAGGAAGGGGTTTTTTTAAACCTGATTAATATTGTAGGAATACTTTGGGATCAAGCCTGGCTTAAATCTCAGATGGGGTAAGAAAAAAAATCGTGCTGCTATTAAACAATCAGCTGCAAGGAGCTGAGAGTGTCCCAGGGAGGATTAAACCCCAAAACCAGCCCAGAAATCCTGCAAGATGTAATATTGATAACCAATGTGGGTTTATACTCTTGTGTGGCCCCAGTGCCACAGTCAGAGCAGGTACAAAAGAAAAGAAAAAAAACCCAAACAAAACAGCAAAAGAAAACAACCACCCCATAAGCAGAGCACAGAGGGAGTTTGGTTATGTAAGGATTTATTCTTCCTTCCTCAAAACCCATCTGCTGCTCAGGAGCTCATTTCTGTGTGTTCATCCTGATTCCTGCACTGCTTTCCAAGAGTCTCCAGGGCCAAATGTGGAGTCTTTTCAATTTCCCTCCCCTCTCCTGCAGTGTGACAGGAATTGCTGGCACTTGTGCTGCTCCCTGCACTTGTCCCCAGTGCTGTGGAGAGAGGACACTCTTGTGCCACTTTTCCTCCCAGTTTCCTGCCTGAATTCCTCCCAGTTTCCTGCCTCTCTTCTCCCAGTTTTCCTGCTTCTTTCCTGCCATTTTCCTGCCTCTTTTCTCCCAGTTTTTCTGCTTTTTTCCTCCCAGTTTTCCTGCCTCTTTTCTCCCAGCTTTTCCACTTCTTTCCTGCCTGTTTCTCTGTTTCTTCCCAGTTTTCCCTCACAGTTTTCCTGCCTCTTTCCTGCCTTTTTCCTGCCTCTCTTCCCCCAGTTTTCCTACCTGTTTCCCACTAGTTTCCTCCCAGTTTTCCTGCCTGTTTCCCTGCCTGTTTCCCTGCCTGTTTCCTACCAGTTTCTTGCCTCTCTTTTCCCAGTTTTCCTGCCTGCTTCCCACCTGTTTCCTCCAGGTTTTCCTGCCTCTTTCCTGCCTGTTTCCTACGAGTTTCCTGCCTCTCTTCTCCCAGTTTTCCTGCTTATTTCCCTGCCTGTTTTCTCCCAGTTTTCCTGCCTCTTTCCCACCTGTTTCCTCCCAGTTTCCCTGATTCTTTCCTCCCAATTTTCCTGCCTTTCCCTGCCTCTTTCCTGCCCGTTTCCCTCAGTGAGGAGCTGTCACTGCTGGCACAGCCCACGGGAGCTGGGGAGCTCTGGGCATCTTCACTGAAACCCCCTGGCACCTTCTAATCGAGGACAAGACAGGGACAGGGAGATGCCACCCACCCCCTGGCACCCAGCTGTCCTTCCACATGTCCCTGGCACTGGCACGTGGGGTTTCAGCAGCTGGGTGCTTGGAAGGGTTTGTGTTTTCTGCCCCATCTTCAGCAGTTCACTCTCCCTGCCCTCTCCATGCCCACTGAGATGTTTGCCCTGTGCCAGGGACACTCAGGTGACAGCAGAGGTGACAGCTCCAGGACTGCCCCCATTCCCGATGCCACCTCAGCACAAGAAGGTTCAGATCCCTACTGGGAATTATTTTTAGCTCATTATTCCCCATCCAGAGTCACTTCCCTGCTGCTCCTCTGCCTCTTCTCCCTTCTCCCAGGACAAGGTGAGCTCTCAGGGCAGGGCCAGCAGCCCTGCAGGAATTCCACACCTGTTCCAGGTGTTTCCATCCCAACAAACCCCAGTGCAGAGATGGAGAATTTATTTAAGCCCCTGCAGCCACAGTTGGTGACTCCTGGCTCAGCCTCAGCCCCTGCTCCTCCTCCTCCCATACATATTCATGAGCCCAATTATCACTGAACAAGCAGGTTGCTGTGCAAATAAATGATTTTTAATCTAAATTACCCAGTTTACACACTCCCCCCAGCTCTGCTTTGCAGAACAGCTGGTGTTTACCAACTCCTCATTACCCATCCAGGCAACACCAGGAGATGCAGCCCAGAGAGGAGCAGCCACCTCTTAGATAAGCTGAGCTCCAGGTTTATCTTTGCCTCAGCCTCTCTGCTCCTCCACATCAGGTCTCTCTCATCCAGCCCAGTTTGCACCATGAAGGAACGATGAAAAAAATGTCTGCTGATAACAACTGTTATTGTTGGGTGCTGCATTTCTGCAGAAAAGAGTCATTTCCATGAAAATCCAAATAAATCCAGCTCTCTGTATTTCCATTTATCAGCATTTCCTTTCTCCTGATTCCACGGGAGGCTCACAGCAGAGCTCAGATGATGCAAGAATTATTCCTGTCGTGGTATTTCCACTGTCCAAGAATGAACATATGTGAGAGAAATCCAGCCCCTCGTTATTCCAGGCCTTAAATGCTCCCCTGAGGCATCAAACAAACACAGGGTCACAGTCCCAGCGCTGGAGTTACATCAGCACTGGGAGTGCTGGTGCCTGCAAGGTCAAACTGGGGAAGGACTGGAGCCCCCAAACCCAACAGGGGGTGTTCCTGCAGCTCTGGGAAGGAAGGTGCTGCTCTGAGCAGCACATGCTGCTGCACGTGGCTCCCACCAGGCCTATTTATTTCCAGCCCTTGTGGCTGCAGGGAGGAAGGAAAACTCCTGGCCTGGGCACAGAACAGGCGGTCACACGTGGCTCAGGAAGGAGTCACAAGCCAGGGCACTCCTGGTGTCACAGGAGATTTGATCCATCCCTTCCCTTTCCCCTATTTTTGCCTCTGGCTGGTGGTCGATGCCTTCTGCAGGATCATTCCTGTGTTCCCACATTCCTTCCTTCTCCTCCTGGAGCCTTCTCCTGGAGCAGCAGCACAGCCCTGGCCAGGCTCTGCACCCCTCAGCACCCCCAAGGTGCTGTGTCCCAAAGAATTCCCCAGGAATGAGGGACAACGTCCCATCCTGGACACGGTGGAGGACAACAGGAGCTCCAGGAGCTGAGCCACCACCCACTGACCTTCTCTGGCACAAAGTCCCTAAATTTCTCTGTCCATAGAACTGGAGGGATGGAATATCCTCATGTCTCCTTGGGCACCTTGGTACACACGAACAACAGCTTTAAATTTCACTGTATTATGAATTTTAATTAGCCCCGGCCACCCCGAGTTCTCATCCCAGCATGTGGGAGCGGGCAGGCAGATGAGGAAGAGGGAAAATGATCTTTTATAGGATGCTCCCAAGGAGGAAGAGTTTTTTCCCCCCACAGGCACCACAGAATTCGTTTTTCTGTGATTTAAGGAGGACACATTTGGTTTCCAAGCAGCTCCAGAGTCTTGCAAATCAGAACATCTCTGACTCCTGGAGCTGGGCTGAGTTAGGCCAGCTCAGACACTGAGCTTTTGTGTTTAAACCGGAGCCATCCCAGCTCCTCCCCACAGCCTGATTTCTAATTGTCCATCTCCCTCCTGGCACAAAGATGTGCTTTTCCCCCTGGTGTGAAAAGATCCAGAGAATGTCGAGGGGCTGGAATTGTCCTTAAAAACCATCTAGACCGAAAGAAAAACTGCAGAAAATATCCTGCCCTGGCGTGGTGAGCACCAACCACCTTCACTAAGCTCGGTGGGGTGGGGCAGGAAGATTTTGGGGAGCCCTGAGCTCGCTGGATTTCATCCCCAATGAAGATTTCCCTCCTCTGGGCTGGGGTCGGAGGCTGCTCGGTAAACAAGCAGTAAATAATCATTGCCCCGGTGACAAACGCCTCGAAGGGATTGGAAGAGGAAGCTGAACTCGGCGTTTGCAGAGAGCAGGGAGGAAATAAATATTCTGCATTTAACAACCCCAGGCAGGGCAGCACGGGCAGAGAACTGCGAACAAGGTCTGGCTGTGAAGCCCCAGATGGCCACTGGTTGCCAAAGCAAAGAGATCAGCTGGGAAAATCGCTCCTTTTTCTCTGTGCTCCATCCCGGAGTGAGAGCCCAGCCCGGGATTTGCAGGGAAGCCGCTCTCGCTGCAAAAATGAGCATTTATTGCTCTCTGGTGGCCATCTCAGAGCTGCACATTCCTGCTCTGTGCCCGGGAGAACCACTCGTGTCGGAAAACGTCTCTAAGATCATCGAGCCCGACCATTAAATCGTGTCCCCAAATGTCACATCTACCTTTAGACACCTCCAGGGATGGGGATACAGCACCTCCCCATTCCGGTGCTCTTTTCCTGTGCTCCTGCTCTAGATCCAGAGGTTGGATGGCAGGGCTGGGGCTCTGCCTCCCCCTGAGTTTTTTTTCTGCCCCCAGATAAGGCTCCACCAGTCCCTTTATTCCTCCTCACTTCCCTAATTCTGTCTCTTCACTGCCAAAAGCTTTGGCGGTGCTTTTTACAGGAGAGGGGGGTGGCAGAGATGTCATCACAAACCTCATGGGGCAGATGAGGATTAAAACCAGGCATAAATAAAAGAGTTGTTGTTTCAAACACTTTTGGGTCGGGTTGAGCTGCTCCAAGGTGTGGGGACAGGCACGTGGCAGCTGTCACCATCCCCATCCTGGGCAGGGAACTTCTGAATCCACTCAGGAACTCAATCCTGCTGCACCACCAGCTCCAGCATCCTGCCCTGGCTGTGCCACCTCCGCTGTGGGGCACACACTGAAAATTCCTGAAAAACGAGGGCAGGGTCCCAAATGCTTGGGGTGAGAAGCCCAAACCCTTCCAGGATGTGCTGCAGGACTCTTCTGTCTCCTGGACCGGTTCTGGAGAGCACACAGACCTGGCACAGATGGCTCCCAGCGTGGCACACGGGTCACACCACGTGGCCACCTTCGCTCAGCCACCGTGGCCGGTCCGTGGCACAGCCTGGCGTGCCCTCAGGTGCCCCTGGGGCTCTGGGGATGGCACCCAGCTTGGCACGGAGCAGGGCTTGCAGCTCCTGGTCTCCCAGCTCAGTGGCTGCAGCGAGGGCCAGCAGGAAGTAGGAAGATGCATCCTGTTCATCCTGAGCAGAAAACAGGGGCAGAGTTAGGAAAGGGCTTCACTGGAACTCATGGGGCAGGAGGGAGCTGGGGCAGAGCCTGGAGGTTCCAGGCAGGACCCAGGGACACCCAATTTCACTGGAATGGTGCTAAGTGCCAGCACTTCTTTCACAATTTCTTAGGTTGCAATACAGGATGTGACCAAAAGTATGAAATCTGTTAACCCAGCTGTGGCAGTGACCCTGATCTCTGTGGGGATCTCTGCTGTTCATGTTCCAGCTGTTAACCCAGCTGTTGCAGTGATCCTGATCTCTGTGGGGATCTCTGCTGTTCATGTTCCAGCTGTTAACCCAGCTGTTGCAGTGTTCTTTATCTTTCCCATCCTTATCTCCAGGGGAAATATCTTCTGTTCATGGGCCATCTGTTAAAAACCAGGTTATCTTTTTTTATCTTGCCCACAGCCCATCCTCCCTCCAGGAGATCTCTCCTGTCCATGGCCATGCAGTCCCAGGGCAGGGCTGATCAAATTCCATCATCCCATTGGGAGATGCTCCAGCCAGGGCAGGAGCCGAGCATTTCCTACCCAGATCAAAGGGGAGATTTGGAACAGCAGAGCAGCCTTTTCCCACTGGATCCCAGAGGAAAACCAGAGCCTTGCACATCATCCCTGCAGCTTTGGAGGAAAACTGCACCTTGTGCAGGAGCCCTGCTCCAGCAGAACCACATCTGTCACTGCAGGAGGATGCAGCCACCATGGAATGGGACTGCACCAACCCTGACTGACTGACGGGGGCACCTTGGATTCTCACTCTGCCCCTGCTCTGGGTTTGTTCTCTGCAATACTGGATTCCTATTTTAATGTTCCTGTTATTCCTATTCCCATATCTTTGCCTGAGCTCCCCTTAATTTCAAAATTATGATAATTTAGAGAGAAGGGGTTTACATTCTCCATTTTAAAAAGAGGCTCCTGCCTTTCTTGGCAGACACCTGTCTTTCAAACCAAGACACCCAATTACCTTCCCCCCTTCAAAACCAGATGTGACCTCCACCCTCAGCTCTCCCTCCAAGCAGCTCCAAGTGGGAAGGCTCCTTCTCACCTTGAGCTTGTGCAGGGTGAGGTTTCCCAGGTGCCAGTAGAGCTTGCAGTAATACAGGGCCTCTGCTGAGCTCTGCAGCACGGGGGGACGCAGGGCCAGAGTCTTCAGGTAGCAATCCTCAGCCATCTCATACATGTGCAGCAGGTCATAGGCTGTGGCCAGGCGGTGGAAGGCAACCAGCTCCTGCAGCTGATCCCCTGGGAAAGAGAGGAAAAGGTGGAATCAATCAGATCCTGTCATGGATCTCCTGGAAAAGAGAGGAGTGGAATCAAGCAGCCCCTGCTATGGATCTCCTGGAAGAGAGAGGGGTGGAATCAAGAAGGTCCTGCAGCTGATCCCCTGGGAAAGAGAGGAAAAGGTGGAATCAAGCAGGTCCTGTCATAGATCTCCTGGAAAAGAGAGGAGTGGAATCAACCAGATCCAGCAGCTGATCCCATGGAAAATAGAGGGGTGGAATCAATCAGCTCCTGCCGTGAATCTGGAAAAGGCTGTGTGGAATCAATCAGGTCCTACAATGCATCTGGAAAAGTGTGTGTGGAATCAACCAGGTCCTGCCATGGATCTCCTGGAAAAGAGAGGTGTGGAATCAGCCAGATCCTGCAGCTGATCCCCTGGAAAAGAGAGGAAAAGGTGGAATCAACCAGATCCAGCAGCTGATCCCATGGAAAATGGAGAGGTGGAATCAACCAGGTCCTGCCATGGATCTAGAGAAGGTTGTGTAGAATGAACCAGGTCCTACAATGGATGTTCTGGAAAAGAGAGAGGTGGAATCAACCAGCTCCTACAATGGATCTCCTGGAAATGTTGCTGATCCAGCTCAATCCGCCCCCAGCCCTGCTGAGCCACTTGGGATGCATTTTCTCAGCAGCTTGGAGGCATGGATACCTCCAAGAGAAACCAGAGCCATGGGCAGGGCTGTTGATGCCACAGCTGGACAGATTGGCCCAGCAGTATCACTCAGCCAGGGGAATTTTTGGGTGCTGGAAGGGGCTGGTACAAGACTGGTCCCATCCCAGAAATTTCAGCTGGCATTTTGCCCACCCAAACTATTTCTGTAATGGGAAGGGGTGAGGATTTTAGCAGAAGCAGGGCAGAGAGGAACTGCTCAGTCTTCAGCTTCCACCAGACTTCCTGTGCTCTGGGGTAACGAAACCCCTCTGCTGAAAAAAAGGGAAGTGGCCTTAAAAAGATGTCCTGACTTTGGGTAAGAAGAGATCCAGCAGAGTTAGCAAAGCAGGAGATCCCCTTTTCACATGGATATTGATCTCACCCACAAGATTCAGTGGCTCCCGATGCCCTGTGGTTGAAAATCACCCACTGACCAGTAACTCCCAGTAAGTTTTGGGTGTAAATCACTCACCAACCCTGAGGCTGAGCCTGGCTGCCAGCGTGGCAAACTCCAGAGCCTTCTCGTAGCCCTGCAGGCTGATCTGCAGCTCGGCCAGTTTGTTGAAGAGCCTCAGCTCTGTCTGGGTGGCCTTGAGTTTCCTGGCCAAGGGCACAGCACCTCCCTAAGGAGAGAGAATGGTGAGTCCAAGGCTCCTGGAGGGATCAGCACTGCCTGAGAGGGGTGACAGAGCAACAGCACAAGGACCAAGGCAGGGGATGGGCACTGCAGGTTTAGGTTTTAGTCTCTTCTTTCCCTTGAAAGTGAGTTTTAAATCCCAAAGCATGGCTCTCAAAGCCTGAGCCTCACATCTCTGCCCTTCTTGGGTGCCTGGAATTCTGACTGGGTGCACCCAGGAGTGACCATCTCACACTTAACACACCAGGATTTGTCATGGAAGGAATAATTCCCAATCCCAAATGATCTCTGGGTTTTTTTGCAAAGCTGTGCTCCAGGCCTCCCACTCTGGCACTCTCAGGATCACCCCATCCCTCTCCACCCTCCATCCTTTTGGTCTGCCCTGGGGAAAAGCCCCCTCAGCCACCACCCTGTGGAGACACAGGGACAGAGATGCTCAGAGGGTTCCATACCCTGTAAAACTCCACAGCTCTGGCCCTGTCCCGGCTGCCATTAAAGAAGGTGTCCCCTGCTTTCTCATAAAGGTCCATGGCCAAGGAGAAGTTGTCCCCTTTCAGGGCAGTCTGGATGCCTGCCTGGAAGGAAAAAGGAGCTGGAGTGACATTTGGAAAGGCAGAGACATTGGTGAGATTAAATGAACCCCAGATTTCAGGAGCTGCTCTTCCACTTTGCAGCTCAGCTGATAAAATAATGCTGGAGGTGGAGAGATGCCAGAAGTCTTCAGCTCCAAGGACTTCCCTGGCACTTATCCCTTATTTATGGATATTTCAATAGGAACTGGTCACTTGGCACCTCCAGCTTCCTTTGGCACTCCTACCTCACTTTCTGACTCAATGAATTAATTTCTTTTCACCCCAAAATCCTCTAAACTCCGTGGATGGAGAGAAAGAGAGGAAATTCAGAACCTGAGGGTAAGGCAAGAGCTCCTCCTTTCAGCAGGAGTGCTGGAAGTGCTCAGAACTTTCCCTTCCAGGTTTTCCAGCCCCAAAAGTCTGTGATGGGAATGCATGGGACATCTCCAGCCACCTCCTCCATACCTGGAAGTACATTTCCACCAGCTCATCCTCCTGTAGAAGATAATAGAGTTTTCCTGCCTGCAGCCAGGCCTCTGCTGCCCTCGCAGCCTCCTCGAGGTCGATGAAGATCCTCAGGCACTGCTTGGTGCAGTCCAGGGATTGTCTCAAAGCCCTGGGATTGAAGCAGGCAAAAAAGTCACTTCAGAGGAGTCATAGGACACTCTCAGCTGTCCCCATGGCACTGACCCCCTGCTCTCTCCTCCTGTTGTTACCAAAGTTTGGGGACAAAAGGATATTGTCAGTTCTGAGCAGTGTCCTGGTGGGATCATGGAAGTCTCCATGCTTTTAATGCTCAGGATTTAATGGTCATTTGGCCACCTTAGGACAATTCAGGACACCAGTGGTCCCACTCAGGCTGCTCCTCACCCCTGTGTGATAAGGAGGGGCTCATCCAGGTCACCCACAAACCCAATTTGCCTCCCTGCGCCGAGTCCCAAAGTCACTCCCAGCTCCACATGGGAGCACAGGCAGGGACTGCTTGTACTTACATATCCCAGACAGCACCTGGCACCCAAAGCCACACCTTTGGTGTTTGTCCCTTGTGCAGCCATGGAGAGATCTCTGGCTACATGCCCAAGCCCCTTTTCCAGCCCCTGGTCACTGGAGGACACAGGGACAGGCAGTGGGATGAGCTGTGGGGAAGGGAGAGCCAGCAGTGTCCAGGGCAGTTTGTTTGCTTGGTGTCTCTCCTGCTGGCAGCCAGGCTCCAGCTGTCCTGGAAGCCCAGGGAATGGGGTGCTTTGTGATCCTAAATAGCCCCTAAATGCACTTTGTGATCCTAAATAGCACCGTTCACATGACAGGCATCTGCTCCCTAAATACCTTCCCCCTGCACTCACCGTGACCTGGCTGGGGAGGTGAACACCCAGCTGGGGACAGCCCTGCCCATTTGTCCTTCTGGCAGTGGCAACTGGCTCTGCACATCTTTGTCCTGATTGCCTTCAAGGTCTGTGACCTGTCCCAGCCCTCTCCTCTCCTCCAGTCCCACTCAGGTGTCAGGCAGGAGATTAAAGGTGAGCTAATACCAGGTTTTAAGCAGCTCCTGTGGGTCCAAAGTCCCCCCCTGGGGACAATATCACAGCAGATAGAGGAAGGGCAGCCTTGGCAGCCTGAGGCTGGAACCAAAGTTACTCCGAGAGCAGATAAGGAGCCTGTTCTTACTGGGGAGTGGTGATTAATCATTGGGATGAGCTTCCAAAGGAAGCAATGAATTCCCTGTACTCTGCTGAAGGCTGGATGTGTCCTGGAAAACTGTGTTTGGCCAGACTCCAGCTCTGTCTGGGACAACGTTAGCCCAGCTCTGGTTGACATTGAGCTTCTGGGCCAGCTCATAAATCTCAGAGCAGTAAAGGAGCCACCACACCCCTTCCCACCCTGCTCAAGCCACTGCACTCTGGCAGCATCCAGCAGCCCCAGGCACTCACTCAGGTGTGCCCAAAGCCTGGTAGAGCTGGCTGAGGGCCTGCCTGGCATTGCCCTCCAGCTCCCTGTCCTGCAGCTGCCGTGCCAAGGATGCCCAGTGCTCGTGGTAGGTGATGCAGGCCTGCAGGTCGGGGCACACTCTGCTGTAGAAATGGCACAGGCGCTCCGTGACGTGCAGCTGACCTGTGTGGCACAGGGAAAGGGACAAGGACAGGTCAGGGGACAGCTGGCAGGGGGAAAGGAACAAGGACAGGTCAGGGAATAGCTGGTACGGGGAAAGGGACAAGGACAGGTCAGGGGACAGCTGGCAGGGTGGAACACTGCCCTGCTGCCCTCTCCACTCACTCCTCAGGTTCTGCCACTTCAGGCCAAACCCCAGCGCCAGCTCATAGCAGAGTTTGGCATCTTCCATCCTCTGCCTGTCCACCATGGCCTGTGCCAGCCACAGCAGCACCTGTGCCAGCTCCATGTCCAGCTCTTGGTGTCCCTGGAGCTCGGCAAAGAGCCTCACTGCCCACAGCAGGTAGAGCTCGGCCAGCTGGGTGGCCCCACACGACAGGCTCAGCTGGCCCAGGTTCGCCAGGGCCACCGCCTGGTTCCTCCTGCTCCCCATCTCCTTGGCCTTGTGCAGGGCCCTCAGGAAGTTCTCTGCAGCTTCCTGAATCCTCCCCTCACCGCTGAGGGCCATGGCTAGCAGATTGTGCACGGCCCCACCCTGGGTTTTGCTGGCCATGCTCTGCAGGATGGCCCTGGCCAGGCCCGGCTGCTGCTGCAGCAAATGCAGCCACCCCAAGGACAGCGAGGACTCAAAAGCCTCCTCCTCCCCCAGCAGCCTGCCCAGAGCTGCAGCCCTGGCTGCGTAACAAACAGCCCCATGCAGCAGCCCGTGCTGCAGGAACATCCTGGACAGGACAGCACACAGAGTCCGCTGCATGGGCACGGCCCTGCTGTCGCAGCAGAACTGCAGCGCTTGCTTCAGGTACAAACAAGCCACTGCCGGGATGCTGCTCCTGTCCAGCTGCTTCCCCAGGAGCTTGGAAGCGTTTTGGAGGATGAAGCCAGCTCTCCAGATGGGGGTGGGTGTCCCCTTGGTGCTGCCGGGAACAAAGGACCTGACAGAGGCCAGCGCGAGGTTGGGCAGGCACTTCTTGTCATAGAGGTAGCCCAAGGTGGCGGCGGCATCCAGGGGCCCAGAACGGGTGCCCGGGCCCAGCCAGGTGATGCTGAGACATTGGAGATGCTCCAAAAAGGGCAGCACCTCCTCGGTTCTGCCCAGCTGCAGAAAGAGTTGGACAATGAGGAAGCAGACCCGGGCCTCCAGTGGGGCGTTGCCCGCAGCGATGGATTCCCTCAGGATGTACATCAGCAGCTCCAGCTCGTTCTCCCAGCTGAAGGAGCGGCCAGGCAGGCACACGAGCAAGGTCACTGTCTTCCCCAGCAGGGAGGAGAATTTGTGCTTCATGTTCTGCTTCAGGTAGATGGAGGCGAGGCTCACGTGCAGCGCTGCCAGCAGGGGCAGGTCCCCAAAACCCCTGTCCAGGACACTCATGGCTTCCTCAAAGTACACCCGAGCCTGGGAGAGCTTCACCTTTTTGATGCAGAGTTTACCCAAGAGGAAACAGAGCCTGACGTGGGCCCAAACTGAACGAGTCCTCTTGGCCCAGTTGCGGGAAGTCTCGAGGTACAGGACCAGCTCATCCTCATCAGAGAAACCATAAAAAGTGGAGTGGAGAAAGGAAAAGCTGAGATCATAAAAACTTTGAAAACTGGGCACGAAACTGTCTTGGTTGAGGAAGGTCAGCATGGGGTCAAAGACATCAGCATCATCCATGTGTCCAGCGTTGAGGTCGATGAAGAATTTGGGATAATCCAAATCGTCCAGCTTGTCCAGGAGAACATCTTCCAGCGTGGCAGGGGCTGTTTCACTGCCTGGGCTGGACAGCTCCGAGGTGCTGCTGGTAGCCCAGTCATTTATTTCCTCCCAAGACTGGAGCACTTGGATTTCCTTACTGCCATGGGGAGCAGCCTCTGGAAAGGACAGGGAAACCACAGTGGGGTCAGGAAGAAATTCTTCCCTGTGGCTGCTCCATCCCTGGAAGTGTCCAAGGGCAGGTTGGAAAAGGTTTGGAGAAACCTGGGCTAGTGGAAGGTGTCCCTGCCCATGGCAGGGGTGGGGCTGGACGACCTTTAAGGTTTCTCCCAATCTAAACCATTCCTCGATGTTTTCTCATGTCCAAATTCACCCTCAGAATTCACCAAAGCCTCCCCCTTGTCCCCTCCTCACACTCACCTGGTGGCACTTGTGGGAACGCAGCTGTGGGTTCAAAACCAGCTGTACAAAGAGACAAACAGAAAACAAAACCCCAAATCCTTGGTCGGTGTCAATGTGCAGAGATCAGCTGAAGTCCCAAAGCCACCCAGCCAGAACAGAGAAGCTGAGAGCCCCCAGAAACTCTGACCTGGTCCTACAAGCCAGGCTCAGTGGAGAGAGCATCTGCCAGGGTGAATCCCAGCTCAGGAGCTGCCCTGGGAGCACAGAAGGTCCCTACAAATTCCAGCATGGCAGGGTCACCTCCTGAGGACACCACCAGCCTCCATCACCAGGCTGAGCATGGGGTTGGTGCTGCCTCCACCCCAAAAGTTGCATTCTCTGCATTCCCATGATCCTGGGGCTCTCCAGGCACTGCCTGGGTCTCCCTGGGGATGCAGGGAGTGGGATATGAGGGGAGGGGACACTCACCCAGCCTGTACACAGAGGTGATGTCAGTGTGTGCCAGCTCCCCCAGGAGGGTGACAAAGTGCTGCTCGTCACCATTGCAGGGCACGTGCAGGACTGGGGACTTCTCCTCTTCGCTCAGAAACACGAAACCCTTTCCCCTGGGGTGGGGCAGGAGAAAAGAGTCAGTGTGTCCCCAAGCCCTGGCACTGCAGCTGGCCTGTGGGGTGGGGTGGGATGGGATAATGGGATGGGATAATGAGATGGATGGGATGTTTTCCCATCCCTTCTCTTCCTCCCACCACACCAGTGCTGTTGCAGATGAACACAGGATTTTGGACACCTTCTCCATCCAGGTTCTCCATGAAGGACCAGAAAGGTACCAGACAAAAGGACCTATTGTTCTTTTTTGGAGTCCAGAAGCCTCAGGATACCCCCTCATCTGCTCTGTCCCTTCTGGAGTGTCAGAGAAAAGTGCTACAACTCACCTTGAGTGACTCTGAGAGAGGAAAACCCAGCAGAGCTTGGTTAAAACCTTGTCCTGCTACACAAACTCTTGGAGAAGCTTTTTGGGATGGGCCTCAAATGGAAGCCACCAGCAGAGACAACTGCCTGAGTCAGGGTGGGATTTATCCCCCTCCCTCCCTGGACAGTCTTGCTGTGTCCTTGGGAAGGTTTGGAATTCTGCTCTGTGCCAGTGGCTGGTCTGCCTCCACATCCAGGGCCAGGAGGAAGGAAAGCAGGATTTGGTTTCCTCAGCAGGGAATGCTCTCCCCACCCTTGCCAGGCTCCCAGCTCCTCAGAGCTACAAACTGAAGGCATTTTTAGGACAAATTGAAGCCAGCTCAGCCCAGGGCTGGATCTGTTCCTCTCCAAGAATCACCTGAGGCAGGTGAAATACAATTTCTTTGTCTGGGCTGCAGCAGAGCCTGGCCAAGGCTTCTGCTCACCCATCAAACCCACCCTCTGTGAAGCTCCTGCAAAGAAAATCGCTGTCCTAAGCTCTCACCCAGCCTTTGGGGTGGGATTCAGAGCTTCCTTTCTCTTTTCTCCAGAATTTAATTTAAATAAACTCACAGAGGTTCACAAGCCTCAGGATTTACGTGCTGGGTGGGAACGAAGCCAATGGTGCCGGTGCTGAGGGATTTCCCCACAAACCAGGGCAGTCCAGGGATGAAGAACCCGATGATTTCTATGGGGTCTCCTTTGGAGAAGCTCAGCTCATCCCACGCTGCTCCTCTGTGGTCCTTGGTGGCGATGCACCTGCCTTTGACTGGGAAACCAAGGCAAAAAAAAAAGGGAATTTCAGCGGGATCCCTGCTAAAACTTCCTCACCAGGAAAGATCTGGAGAGGTCTGATTGCAGCTGGAGAGGGCTGCCTCTCTCCTCCCTAAGATTTATTGTGATCTTGGATCCAGCTCTGTGCCATTTCTCCTTGAGAAGAGGATTATAATACAAAATAAAAGAGGAATGGAGCTGCAGCTTGGAGGGTGACTGGAAAAACGGATTTTCACAGACACTGCCCTAAGTCAACTCTGCCAGGAGTGAAATCTTGGACAGGGCAAATGTCCCTACATGACAAAGTCCCACCTGCAGGGAGCTCCTGTGTCCAGCTTGCTCTGAACTGGACTGGACTGGGGTAAAGGGCTGGCTGGTGGGCACAGGTTTCGTGTGAACCTCATGATTTGAAACCTCCCTCCTGAAAGAATTCAAAGAAATATAAAATTGAAGTAGGACAGGGGAAAACCAGTGGCAGAAAGGTGTCACCAGCAGCTCTCTGTGCTCCTCAGAACGTGGTTTGCAAGTTCTGATCTGTGTTCCAGAGAGCCCAAGCATTCCCTTGGAGCCCCTGAAGTGGGCTCAGGCCCAGAAAAACAAATGGATTTGTGGTCATTTGTGGCCAAACCCAGGTTGTGAGCTGTGCCCAGCCCTGGGACAAGAAGGAGATGTACTGAGTCTTTACTGTTGCCAAATTCTAAATCAGGTAAATATACAGTTACCTGGGGGGGAGGCAGGGGTAGGAATAGAAATCACACATTTGATTTAAAATAATTTGAGTTTCTCTAGAGCAGTTTTGAGTGTCATAGTTCAGGAAGGTGGTTTGGCAGTGTATAATTCCTGGGATACTAATAAAATAAGGAATATGCTCATATTAACTGGACAAGGAGCATTACAGGTAACATGCAGCTGAGGGGCATCATCAGTAATTGTATTTCCTGGGTGCAGCTCTGTGGTATCTGAACAGATCTAAGCAGATTTTGTGTTGTGTGTGTGGTTGACCTTGCACAGGGGTCACTCACCAATGGCCTGAGAGCTCGTCCCACTGATCTCCTGGGAGACCCCAAAACTCACAGCATAATTCTTCAGGAACCACCTGCAAGGCAAAAGGGACCCTCACTGCTCCTCTGTGAGCACTCCTGACCCCAGACCAGCCCCAGGGATGGGGTCACACCACAGGGGAAGAGCAGGATACATTTGCCATCTTTAAGGAAGATTTCTCCAAGCAAAAGGTTCAGCCAGGTGATCAATGTGAAGCCCCACTTTAATTGGCATTGCCTAAATTTTTTCAGCCATCTGTCAGAGATAACTATAGTAGGACCCACAGCTGGTCTGTGGGTTAGAGAGGGTTAATGAATGAGGTTTGTTTTAAGAAGTATTCTCTGACCAAGGTTGTTGGCCTGGAGACCAAGAAGAAAAGAAGAAGAAGAAGAAACCTGCAGCTGTGGAAAGTATTTTTAGAAAAGTTTTATGGAAAACAGAGGCGTGGATGGTTTTACATCAATGATTGTTATGTTGACTAATTGTAACCAATGAAGAAAGTGTGAACTGTGTAGAGGGTATAAAAGGCAGTGAGCTGTTGTAATAAACAGGTATTAGCCTTGTGAAATGTAGTGTGTGTATTTGTGTGTCACACCCCCCTCTACAGTGACAGATAACCTCAGGTATGACCTAAATCAATATCTTACAAAAACCCCATCTGAAGCAGGAGCATGTCCCTGCTGTGTCCCACTGACAGCACCTGCACTGATTCCAGTCTTCATGCCTAGTGTGGATCCTCCTGGAAATATCCTCATGGAATTGTGAGGCCCTTTGCCAGAGGCAAGAGGAGTTTCCCAGCCAGTTTTGGTGCCAGTCATGTCTCAGGATCAGGAAAGAATCCTGGTTTGAGGCCTTTAATTCCCCACTTACTGGTAAAAGGGCTGAGCTATTGGCTGCAGAGCTGTCACGGGCACCACCCCTCGCTGTCCTGTCAGCAGGGACATCCCTTCCCATCTGGAATCCTGTCCCACACTCTTCACGTGGATCAGCTCATTCCTGCAGAGCTGCAGACCCTCCTCTCCCTCCTGCTCTGACTTCCAGGCACCAGGCACTGCCCTGGAGAAAAAATTCCCTGCAGAGATAAAGAGTCAGAGATTGGATCAGTGATCAGCGATCCAGCACAGCCCTGCTGCAGGATTTCCAGGAATTCCCTCATGTGCATTCCCATCACACCTTCCTGGAGGAGCAGGTCCATGTAGATGGTGGCCAGGTGCTCTTCATCCATGGTGACCCTGAGCTCAGTGTCCTCCACCAGGGCACAGTCCAGCCAGAACTCCTGGGCAAAGAGCAGCTGCTCCAGGCAGGACCCCACGTACCCTGAGAAAACAAGAGGGGGATCAGGATCCTTCCCTTGGCAGCAGGAAAGGCCTTGGGGATTTCCAAAGCTCAGGTAAAAGCTTCTGATTTTGTCTCCAAAATTTCCCAAAAGGAATCCTCCTGATCCTCATCGATCCAAGCAGAGATTTCATAAACAACGGATTGCAAAGTTCTCTAATTCATATTCTCACATTTAAAACTAGTTGTATATTAAATGTGCTAACTACTAGATAGACTTCCATGTGGCTGCTTTGAATTAGACATCCTGTTTCTACATCATTGTTAAGATTTCTTTTAGGCTAAAAGTGTTTCCAAAGCTTAAATATGAAAAGTAATAGAAAATAGAGGGGGATAAGTATTCCTACTTGAAAAGATTTTTTTCTTGGTTTTTGCTAATTTCTTTGCATTTGCCTTTGGAGAAAAAATAAACCAAAACTGTTTCCACTATGCACACATATACAACAGGAGAACTATTTAAGGAAAGTACCTTACTTTAATTAATACTGTCTTTTCAACATCATTCTTTATCAGAGATTGAACAGGGAGATATACCCATTTTTAATTCAGATCTGATACTGTTTGCTCCATAAGGTACTGAGCTGCTGCCATTAGTTAATCAGGACTTTGGGGCCTGATTTTCAAAGATGGCTGATCAAAAGCAATAAAGGTTTATCTTCAGCTTGATTCTGCAAAGCTTTGCCTCCGACGAAGAGGGCAGTTTTTAGTAAATTGCAATTTTAGTTTTAGTAAATTGCAATTTAATAACTGAACGTTACAGTTCAATGTCTTCCCCGAAGAGAAGACACACAAGGTCTGTTTAGACCTTGGGAATGTTACCTAAAGTCAGATACGTGGAAAACTTCCAGACTTCCTCCAGGGTTTTGAAGGTGAGGAGGAAGCGATCCTCGTGTGCCTGCGTGCAGACCAGCCTGGCTGACAGCTCCTGCACGTGGGACACAAAGCAGCATCAAGGGATGATCCTTGAAATCCAGCAGGGAAGGAGAGTTCAGTCCAGGCATCCTCTCTGTAGCTGGGATTTGTTCCTATAAAACCCAGCTTGAGAACTCTGTGCCTGTCCAGAGCTGTCACCTCCAGCAGGGACACGGATTTGGTGATCCCAGCCCTGGGAATTCCTGGATATTTAGGCTCAGATCCCCCAAAACAGCACAAGGCTCAGCTTTGCCTCTCACTTGCCATCAGTTCATCCCTCCCCATCATTCCAGACCTTTCCAGAGTCCTCTGAGGAACTCCTCAGCTGGGTTTGGTACCCCAGCACACTTCCCACCATTCCAGGAGCATCCCAGCACCTGGCACGGGGTTTTTACCTTGAACAGGGCACAGACACCTCTGTCATCGCTCCCCAGAGCCCACAGCTTCTTCCTGGCAGCTTCCTGGAGCTGGGAATTGCGGCACCGAGAGGAGCGGCTCTCGACAGAGAACGAGAGCGAGATCTCTTGGGAAGGGAAAGAGGAGAATTACAGGGGAGGAGGAGCTCTGTGACACCCAGAGCCACCTCTGCAACTCAGAGGCACCTCTGTCAGCCCACCAGAGCCACCTCTGCAACCCAGAGCCACCCAGAGACATCCCTGCCACCCAGACCCCTGAAACCCAGAGCCACCCAGAGACACCCCTGTCACCCAGAGCCGCCCCTGCCAGCCCACCAGAGCCACCCCTGCCACCCAGAGCCACCCAGAGCCACCCCTGCAACCCAGAGGCACCTCTGTCAGCCCACCAGAGCCACCTCTGCAACCCAGAGCCACCCAGAGACATCCCTGCCACCCAGACCCCTGAAACCCAGAGCCACCCAGAGACACCCCTGTCACCCAGAGCCGCCCCTGCCAGCCCACCAGAGCCACCCCTGCCACCCAGAGCCACCCAGAGCCACCTCTGCCGGTCTACCAGAGCCACCTCTGCCACCCAGAGCCACCCAGAGACATCCAGAGCCACCCCTGCCACCCAGAGCCACCTCTGCCAGCCCACCAGAGCCTCCAGCCTGTGATGCTCAAACCACACAACCCAGCCCATCCTCATCCTTCAGGCAGAGAAGAGACCCCAGGCAGTGCAGGAAATCTGTGAGATTCCCCCGGGCACACCCTTACCTGGTGGAAAGGTGTCCCTGAGAGGCAGCAGGGCCACAGAGGGGCCAGGGGAGCCGTGTCCTGCCTCGGGAGTGGGGTTGCTCTGCTCTGCCAGCCCAGCTTTCCCTGGAGAGGAGGGGACACAGCAGAGAAATGCTGGGAAATGCTCTGGAAGAGCTCTCGGATGTCCAGGAGCAGCTGAGAGCTCCTGGGAGCACAGCCCTGCACATGGGGATGTGTGAATCTGGGACCACCCCAAAGTCTGCTCAAGGTTGGAGAGACCCATGGGATTGATGGGGTCTAACTCCATCATTCCCTCGATTTTGTTTTTTTTCCCAGTGCTGGAGTGGCTCTGGAATGAGGGGATTTTCCCTCCTTTCTCCTGGCCAGACCCTCAGATGAGCAGATCTGGTAAAAGGGTCAAACCCCAACAGAGATTTTTTTTTTTTTTTTGGAAGAGGCCTCCCCAGCACAGGAGAAGAAAGGCCTTGTAAAACTATTTGTTCAAAAATTTGAAAATCAAAATGAGATTTTCTCCCTTGCCTGCTCTGCTGCGTATCCAAAATCCAAGCAGCATTCTCCCTGCTCCACACATCATCAACTATTGCCATAAAGGATTCAGGACCTGCAACTTGAGCTGCTAATTACGTTAATGAAAGCTGAGGCACATAAAACTCCTCCTGCTCCTCCACAGCTACATTGGCTGTGGAGGGATAACCAGATTAAACCCCAATTTTTGTCAGTGATCAGATTGGATTTGTAAGATGAGCAGGTACCTGGAAATGTGGAGCTGGAATGTGCAGCAGCTTTTTAAAGTCACTTCTTTCACCAGAACTCTGCTCTACAGTTCTTTTTATTGAGCCAGCTTTGCCAGTCACACAAATAAATTGGTATTTGCTAAGTCAATCAAATAAAGTGGTATTTGCATGCAGAAACAGAATTCTTATTTAGAGAAATAGAATTCTTATTTAGAGAAATAGAATTCATATGTAGAGCCAGCAATTAGAAAAGAACAGCCCCAGGCTAAACAGGTCATGAATAAGTTTTGCTTTGAAAAAAAAAGGGTCTACATTTAACAAACAAAGCCTTAACATTTCTTGTGGCAGCTCCATCCTTTGCACATGAGGGAAATGGAGAAGGGAAGTGAAAGGAGGCGGAGGCAGAACAAAATCTGAGCCAGCTCCTGCCATTGCTCCACTCCTCCCTGTCCTCCTCTTGTCCCTGTGTCCTGGCAGGGCCTGGGGATGGATCCCTGGTGCCATTCCCTGGGAATGGGGATGGTGATGGGGAGGGGGATGGATCCCTGATGCCATTCCCTGGAGATGGAGATGGTTCCCTGGTGCCATTCCCTGTGGGTGGGTCCCTGATGCCATTCCCTGAGGATGGGGATGGGTCCCTGGTGCCATTCCCTGGGGATGGGTCCTTGGTGCCATTCCCTGGGGGTGGGGATGTGTCCCTGGTGCCATTCCCTGGGGAAGGTTCCCTGGTGCCATTCCCTGGGAATGGGGATGGTTCCCTGGTGCCATTCTCTGGTGGTGGGGATGGTTCCCTGATGCCATTCCCTGGGGATGGGGATGGGTACCTGATGCCATTCCCTGGAGATGGAGATGGTTCCCTGGTGCCATTCCCTGTGGATGTGTCCCTGGTGCCGAGGTCGTGTCCCACCACCATTGTCCCCGGTGCCAGCGGGGCAGGAGCTCGGGGGAGCGGGGCCAGCAGGACTCACACTCCTCACCTGGGGAACACAGAGGGTGGGTAGAGGAATCCAGATCCCTGGCAAGATTCTCCCATCCTGAGAGGTGTCCAGGGGATGTGTCACAGGAGGTGGCAGGTGGGTCCCTGCCCGTGCCAGCAGCAGGACAGAGCCTGTCCATGGGTCCCCAGAGGCAGGAAGGAGCCAGGGCTCGCTCTGGTTGCTCTCATGGGTTCAGTGTTTATTTTCATTTGAGCCAGGCTCAGAAAGGGAACTGGGAGATGTTTTTTTCAAGGGACCAATTGAAACTGCAGCTGGAGAGTTGTTCCCAGTCGTGCCAGTGACTCAGTGACCTCTTCTGTGCCAAAATCTTTTGTAACAGTGGGCAGGAAAGAGCTCCAGCCCCCAGCCAGTGCAGGTCCCAGCACTCAGGGCTGCACTCCTGGCTCCAGGGCTGCCTGCTCAGGGCACCTTCTGGTCCTGGCCCTGTTGGGGACACGTGGCCACAGTGGCTGGCCCTGAGCCACGTCCCTCCTCCAGCTCATTGGAAAAGGAACAGTGCCCTGGGGGATGCCAGCACCCCATGAGCTGTTCCTGGGGGACTCCTGGGCAGGGAGGGTGGCCAAAAAACCAACAGCATGGGAATAAACCAACCCTCGAGTCACCCTGGCCCCTCCCTGGCCAAAGGGGACACTCCTTACACACCCTAATCCTAGAGGAGGGAGCACCAGGAGCCATCCCAGAAAAGGCAAGTAGCCAGAGGGACCAGTGCCCAGTGCCAGAGTGTCCCCAAGGGTCCCATCCCATGGAAGGAGCCAGCCACAGCTCCTGCAGCCCCACTGGCACCTTACCTGTGCATCCCAGTGCCAGGTCCTGGTGCCAGGGGGTCCCCAGGCAGCAGCCCATGCGTGCAGTGACACAGCAGAGGGCTGGCAGGGGGCTGGCAGGGGGCTGGCAGGGGGCTGGCAGGGGCTGGCAGGGGGCTGGCAGGGGGCTGGCAGGGGCTGGCAGGGGCAGGGCTGCTCGCTGCCCGCCCGGCACCGTGGCTGGGCACGGCCACAATGCACAATGTCCCCTTTGAGAGGGCACTGGCACGGCGGGGGCGGCGGGCACGGGCTCAGGGGAGGGCTGGGGTTGGAGTCACAGCATCAGGGAGTGTTGGAAAGGCCTTTAAGGGCATCGGGTCTGGGCACAGACCTGATACTGCCAAGGCCACCACTAAATCATGTCCCTAAGTGCCACATCTGTCTTATAAATGGGGATTCCACCATGCCCTGGACGGGCTGTGCCTGTGCTTGACAAGCCTTTACATGGAGAAAGTTTTCATAATATCCAACCCAAACCCTCCCTGGTGCAACCTGAGACCATTTTCTCTCATCCTGTGCCTTTTTTCCTGGGAGCTGTCCCCTCCTGTCAGGGAGTTGTGTACGGCCACAAGGTTCCCCTTGAGCCTCCTTTTCTCCAGGCTGCCTTTGCCTCGGGGAGGGCAGTGCCCATCCCACATGGCACATTCCTGGCATTGCTCCTCGCTCTGCCAAGCCTGCCCCAGCTCCCAGCTGCTCCCTCCGAGCTGATCTCCCCCAGTTCCAAAGGCAGAGCTGCTCCTGACACATCCCTTACCTGTGGGGATATCCAGCATCCTCCATCCGGGGCTGCCTGTGATCCTGGACCTCCTCCCTGCCCGATGCTTTTCCCTTGGCACCGTGGGGGCAGCTGGCAGCACCACGGGCATCTCTGCCACCTACATCCAGGTGAGTTCCTGCAGCCCCAGGCACTGTGGGCACCCCCAGGGCTCAGATCCAACACCAGCAGGAATGGGTTGGCTGCTGTGCAGGATCCCTCGGGCATCCCAGGGTGAGGATGAGCCTCATTCCCTCCTCACTCACACCCTCAGAGCTTCCCCAGCCCTCAGGGTCACGATTTGGGATGGCTGGGCTGGCTCACTGTGCTGGGGGTGGTCTGCAAGGCATCTTTGGGCAACAGCAACACAGCCCCTGCAAAATAAAACCAGAAAGGTTTAGGGAGAGAACTTGCAGGTTGGGAGGGGTTTTAGGGATGGATTTTTACTCCAGCAACCAGGCAGTGCCACCACTGCAGGGATTTGTGTGCTGGGGCTGCTCCGGGAGCATCTCTGGCTCTCCCAGGCTGCATCCCAAGCCATGGCAGTGCCTTGAACTTCTCCAGAGTAATGAATAATTAATCCAGGGAGTGATTTGGGTCAGGTTGGATGAGGCTCTGAGCACACTGGTGCAGTAGAAGGTTCCTGCCCATCAACAGAAGTAAATTTTAAAGTGTTTTAAACCCAAACCTGGTGGTGTCTATGATTCCATGACCCAGAGAGGGAATTTCTCACCAGACAATTCCCATGCCTGGCACAATTGCAGTGGCCCTGAGGAGTACCCGGCTCTGGGCATGGCAGGATGGAACCCACCTGCACGGAGCTGGCTGGGAATTTCCACACAAAAGTGAAACCAAACCAAAAACCTCTGCGGGGAGGGAGAGATGCTCGTCCACAGTCAGAGCAGACTGCAGGAGTGGGGATTCCTCATCCAATTCCTCACCCAGATCTCCAAACGTTGGGATTGCCTGGAGAAGGGAGCATCCTCTCCATCCTCCTGCTGAGCCCCAGGGGTCAGGGCGTTCTCCAGGCTGGGCTTTGCACTCAGAGCTGTGGGGCTGCAGGAAGGGGAGCACTCACAAACCCTGAGAAGTTTAAAAAAATTCCCCCAGCTGAGCTGGGGGTGCTCTGAAGGAATCAGGAATCAGGAATCAGAGGGGGAATGCAGCCTGCCTGTGCTCAGAACACACAGATGGGATTTTGTGATGGATTCGGGCACATCTTTACACAAGAGGTGTCGCTGCTTTGCTCTCATGCTGTCCAGGAGGTCAGAGCTCGAGCAGAGCAGTGTTTTTATACACAGCTTTTTTGCTCTCATTAGAAGATTCTTGGTTTTAGCAGTTCCTGCTCACCAATTAGCATCAATTTCTTCTACACAGGGGAAAAATTTATTTTTTTTTTTTAAATCAACAAAATAGGGATTTAATTTTTTTTAAACACAAATGTCTTCCTTTGAGGTTGTGAAATGTCTTTTTATTTTTGAGTCTGCCTTGACAACTTAGCAACCAAGCCCATCCCTGTATAAGCACAAGTGTCACCTCCTGCTTGACCCGAACTGGAATTTGCCTTTTGGCCAGCGAGCTGAAAACCTGTCACTCCACTTCCTACCTTTCTGCTTCCCAAAAAAACCTGGCTGTCCCCTGGAGAGCCCTCAACGCTGCTGCTGCAGTCTGGCCTCCCTAGAAAAGAATATTTCCTGGGATCTCAGCCTGTTCCAGAGGGAATTCTCTGCCTGTGCCAGCTCTCCAGGGGCTCTGCTCCCTTTGCAGTCCCAGTGCCAGCCGGCCACGCTTCCCTGCCCAGGGCATGGAATGGGATGAGAGTGGCTCTGCAGGCACCCCCGGCTTGGGGACAGAGCTGTCACAGACCCTGAAGGGCTGAAACCCAGTCCTGGCACCAAATCCCCCTTCCCAACCCCAGCTCCAACCTCTCCTGTCGGTTCCCAAAGGACCCAAACCCAGTGACAACCCTGCCACAGCCTCTAAAAAAAAACCCCAAACTCCTCGTCCCAGCCTGGAATTCCAGAGGCTCTGGATCTCTGCAGCCACCTGCCACCAGTGTTTGCTCAGCCGGGACAAAGGGCACAGCCAGGGGACAAACAGCGCTGTACTGACCTGCTCCCAGCTCCGCTTCCCTCCCGGCCAATTCCTGCATGGAATTGATGGAATTCCAGCCTCTCCAAGCCCCGAGGGAACGCTGCACTGCCGGGATGGAGCTGCCAGGGCTGCGGACGTGTTCGTGCCCAGCGCTGCCACTCCCTCACACGAGGGAAGGAATTCCTTCCAAGGGCTCCTTATCATCCTGGGAACCTCCTCTTCCCAGAAGAGCTCAAGGAGTTACCCAGGGCTGTGTTATAAACAGGAGACCGGAATTCCCAGGCGCCTCCTTCGCCTGGAAACAATTCCAGGGAAGGTTTTCCATGGGCACTCTGTGCCCGTCCCAGCCTCCAACTCTCCCGGTTCCAGGCTCTCCTGGTCTCACCTGTGTCCTGCTCGCAGCCTCTTGGAGCTGGGGGGAACCTTGTGTCCTCACCGTGCGACACCAAAATCCCGGGAGAAGCATTCCCTCCGGGAATTCCAGCTCCGAATCCCTGTTCTTCCCTGCCAAAACGCGAATACAGGCGCGCACAACAAGAGATCTGTGGACCCAGCAGTATTTGTGCATCCCGGCTAAAGTCCGCGGCAGAGGGAATCACAGGGAATTTTTTCCTCTTGGAAACAATGGAATAGTCAACATCAAGCTTTCCAGATATTTCTGTTTCTTTCTGAAGTCGCCCATTCCTTGGCACGTTCAAAAACGAAGCCTCGTGGCTTTTCAGCTTATTATTTCAAACTGAGGCTGAAAGCAAAGCAAAGGAAGTCAGCCCAGAGCCGGCTTCGCTGGAGGAAAAAGCAAACAAAAAAAAAAAAAAAAAAAAAAAAAAAAAAGAAAAAGATGAAAGGTTTCGTTTGAGGCCAAAGAAACTCTCGGTTCATGGTATGGGTGGGGGCACCCAGTGCGGTGTGAGATGGAGCAGAGCTTCCCTTCCCTCCCTCTGGAATCCCGGCGGGGGAGGGCAGGGACACTGGCAGGAGCACAGGGGACATTTCCTCGGGGACATTTCCTCATTCCAGCTCTGCCTTGGCTCTCACCTAGTGCCGATGGGCACACGGCAGGGATAAGCACCTGGCCCGTCCAGCTTTGCCACCCTCCAGGAATCCAGGACTGCACACCTGGACAGCCTGCCTCATGTGCTTCCATCCCCAAGACTTGGGAGAGCATTTTCCCAAATTTTTTTTGGCAGCTGGGGCGCTGGAGAAGGGGAGTTCATGCATGGCTGAGGACACAGGGAAATCTCAAGGTTTTCCCAGCCAAACTCAGTCCCTGAGTGCAGCGTGGCTTTGAGATCTTTCTTCTCACTGGTGGCCCTGTTTTGGTTTAGTTTGATTTTTTTTTGGCTAATGAATTCATAAATGTTATAGTTTAGGTTTGTTAATTTTAATATACTTATTTTTTGTTGTGAGATAAAATTAGGAGCAAAAGCAAGGCAGGCGTAAAACTTAAAAGGGAATAAAAAAAACACTTTATCAACAACAAAAAGAAAATAAGAAATTCAGAATAATTCAGGAATTTTCTTCCACCTCCAAGCCCTTTCCGACTTTTCTCAACACCAAGCATTCCAAAGCTGCTGCTGGTGCACTGGGAATTCTGCTCCATCCCACAACTAAAGGGTTAAGAGGGCTCCGGGGCTGAACTGAGCTGA